CAACCAAAAACATACTTAGTCAACACCACAAAAAATACTAAGTCCACACACCATGAAAAATTTTCTAAGTCCACAAAGGATGAAAATTTTTCTAAGTCCACAACATGAAAATTATTCTATGTCCACAAACAACGAAAAATTTTCTAAGTCCACAACACAGGAAAAAAAACGAAGTCCACACAACAACAAAAAAATACTAAGTCCACACACCATGAAAATTTTCTAAGTCCACACAACATGAAAATTTTCTAAGTCCATAAAGGATAAAAAAATTTTCCAAGTCCACAAACATAAATTAGTCCAATTCCACAAGAGGAAAAAAAACTAAGTCCACAAACAAAGACAATATTTCAAAGCACAAAATATGAAAAATATACCAAGTCCACACACATTGAAAATTATTACAAGTCCACAGGATAAAATAATACTAACTCCACAACATATGAAAATTTTTCTAATTCCACAAACAATGACAATATTTCCAAATACAAAAACAAACAATAAAATAATACAAAGTCCACAAACATCAAAAATATAATAAGTCCACAATCGATGACAATTATTCAAAGTCCACATACATTAAAAGTTATTCTAAGTCCACAAACATTGAAAATTATTACAAGTCCACACAAGTTCAAATAATACTAACTCCACAACATATGAACATTTATCTAAGTCCACAAACAATGAAAATTTTTACAAGTCCACACACGATACAAAATTATTCCCGGTCCACGGACGTAATACATTAATACGGAGCCACAGACGATAAAACATTTTCTATATCCACAAAATATTCAAAGTCCACAAACGATAAAATAATAACAAGTCCACAAACATACCAACTACACATACACAAAGGCTAAAATAATACTAACTCCACAAACATCATAAATTATTCCAAGTCCACATACATTAACAATTATTACAAGTCCACAGAGGATACAAATTATTCTAAGTCCACACAACATGACAAAAATACTCAGTCTACATTGACAATTATTCAAAGTCCACAAACGATAAAATAATAACAAGTCCAAATACATATTAATTATTCAAAGTCCACACAGGATCAATTAATACTAAGTCCACAAAGGATATTCAAAGTCCACAATCATTATACAAAGTCCACATAAATTGAACATTATTCCAAGTACACAAACAATAAATTATTCAAACTCCACAAAATATTCAAAGTCCACACAACATAACAAAATATTCAAATATCCACAAACATCATTAATTATTCAGTCCACATAAATTGAACATTATTCCAAGTACACAAACAATAAATTATTCAAACTCCACAAAATATTCAAAGTCCACACAAATTGATCATTATTCCAAGTACACAAACAATAAATTATTCAAAGTCCACACAAATTGACAATTATTCAAAATACACAAACAATGAGACATTTTCAAAGGATAACAATTATTCCAATTCCACACAAAATACACAATTATTCAAAGACCACAAACATCATCAATTATTCAAAGTCCACACGGGATAAAAAATTAGTCCGATTCCACCGGCGTAATACGTTATTCCGAGTTCGCGTGCGTCGATAATTATTGCCGGTCCTCGGACCCGACGCATAAATTTCCCGGTCCACAAAAGGCAAAACAAATTCAAAGTCGACAAACATTATCAATTATTCAAAGTCCACAAAGGTTAACAATTTCAAGTCCACAAACAACTACAGGTTGTAACTCTCTAGTCCGGCATTCTGTGCTCCGCAAACTCCCGTGGTCCAAAACAATTTTACTTTCTCCAACAGGTACATAGGCAGTTTTTTTTTTTTTCTTGGAAATTATCATTATTATAGCAGGAGTATTAAATTGTGGGTCAGTGACTTATGCCCAGGTGGGCTAATCCCCTAAAAAAAAAACCCCCAGGAAATTAAGGTTTGTTTACATCCAGCACTTCAGCTGCTCTCTCTCTCTCTTTGTCTATAGAGTACAACATTTAACCCTTCAGCAATAAATAAGTGTTGCTTTCATATTCTTATGTAGAGTAATGACGATATCTTTTCACATGTGCGCACTCACTTTTTTTATGGTTAACTACTTATATTGTTCCATTTTTTAACATTAAATAACATTACACGTACTTCAAACGAGCATATTAATTTTTTTACATTAATTTTACTGCAGCTAAAATCAGGGTCTTATTTTCTTCAGTTTTATATGTACAACCAATCGGTCACTGGTTTTGTGAGCTTTAACGTAAACGATGCCGGCAGCCGTCTCGTCTCGTCTCCTCTGATATTCCACGTATTAATAATAAATTCTATTGTTAATTTTGCACACACAAACATTAATTCAATAAAAACAAATTCACAAACATCAATTAAAATAGATATGAACAGTAAATAAGTGTTGCTTTCGTATTCTTACGTAAAGTAATGACGATATCTTTTCGCATGCCCACTTACGCGCGCGATCTCTTTTTTTTCTTTACCGTTATCGTTAGCTACTTCTATTGTTCCATTTATTAACATTACTTAAAACAACCATAGTCATTTGACTACAGCTACAGCCAAGGTCTTATTTTCTTCTCTTTTATATGTAGAACCAGTCAGTCACCGGTTTTGTAATCGACGAAAACAATGCCGTGTGTTTTAATATTCTACGTATTATTAATGAATTGTATTGCTCATTTTGCACACAAACAGTAATTCAATAAAAAAGACATTCAATAATGAATCTTTTCTACACGAGAGAAATGACGCTCTTTACGCGATTGTGCCAGTCGTCTGCACGTTGGCGGGCCGTTCAAACCCGTCGAAATTCCACTTTCCGCCGTCAAAATTTCTATTTATTTATTTTTGGCTCTGTTCCAATAAAATACGTTAAGAATTAAAAACTCTCCAAATTTCACGAGCTACTATACGACATTTAACCCTTCAATATGTCTTCAAAGAGGCCGTGATGCAGAGAAAGTGGTGCTAGTGCTTCCAAGCATAAGCACAAGTCACTATCTATCCAGGAAAAGGGTCAATTTCCATGGTCCGGTCCCGAGGTTGCCCGACTAGAGGTACGACATTTCGGTCCACAAACATGAAAAATATACAAAATATCTCACTTATTCAAAGTCCACATACATGCAACACATTTTCCAAATCCACAAACCAAAATAATTTCAAACTGCACAAATGACTATACTATAATCAAACAACAACAACAAGTCAAAACATTTTTCAAACTACAAATAACTTCAATCAATTACAAACAAACATATACAAGTCTACAAATATTCGAAGACGACCGATCCGCGGACGATTGACTTTCGTCGACGACGCCACATTTTTTACGACTCCGCGAACGAATCTACGACGACAAAAAATAACTCCGCGACTCCGGCCGTTCCGGTCGATTCCGACGACGCCAAACTCCCGACAAAATATTCCCGGTGCGCAATTGACACCCTTCAAATTAAAACCAATAACTATTCCACAATAAACAATTTCACAAGTCCACAACATTAACTTACACTCTTCAACTATTTCCCGATATATAACTGCCCAAACCCGACGCGACCGCGTATTCAAACTACAGACGGTACGTGCATTCTCGTCCTCGATGACAGTTACTTTCCAAATCTAAATAGAACTCCTCCTCTTCTTAACAACAACATTTAGTCAAATATCAACACAATATATCTAATTCACACTCACAACATATATATAACAACAAATAAATACAATCCAACATACACACAGCAGCAGTAATACAACCACAAATTCAATTGGTAACAACAAACATATACAGGAACACAAAAACAACCAACAAATGGGAGTAACAACAGGATCAAGAGCAATGGGAGGGTGAGAAACAACAAGGGAATCACAATCAAACAGAGGAGGAGAAGGAACAGACGCAGAACAAGCCAAAGAATAAACGAGGAAGACATATGGCGAAGAGGAGGAGTAAAAGAAGGAAACAGGAAGAAGAAGAGGACGGACAGAAGCAGGTAGGGGGGAGAAAAACGAAGGGAGTTGCAATGAAACGGAGGGAAAAGAAGCCGCACGACAAACACGTCAAAAAAGGAGGAGGAGGACGGGGAGGCAGAGGGAAAAGACAAAAAAGGGAGGGCTTACAAATTAAACATTGTGCTCGTATTCCTTCCCCTACTCGTCCAACAAATTTTATTATTATACAAACGCCTTCACAATAAACACCTTAACACGAGTGGAGCAACACGGAGTACGGGTGAACGAGTATAAATTCATCCCACAAATATATTACTGCTGCATTACGTATTTCCTTACCGGTAGATGTCGCGGTCTCAAAATAGGTACCCACGCGCACTCCACGACTGCCCGCTCTCAAACGCACTGCCACAATTACGTAAAACTAATACACCTGTCGAACCTTCCCGCCATTTCAAACACGCGACTCTTAGTTAAATCTACTTCCAAATCATTCTTTACGCATCTCGCGGGTATACTTTCGTTTGTGCGCCGCCTCGTCTCCGTCCGAATTCCCGTCCGTTCTCCGTCGGTCCTCTTTCCCGTCCCGTAAACGGACCCCGATCGACCGTCGTCCGTATCCGCACGCGCCCGCACCCGCCGCTTTACGTACGACCCTTTCCTAAACCGCCATTTACTAAATTCGTCGTCGTCCGTCCCACGTCGAAAGGTTATTGCGATCGTCGCTTCCGCCAATTCCTCTACCGCGCGACTTCTTTACAATCCCCGTCGCATCCGTTTCTCACAATTACGCCGACTCGGCACTGACGAGTCAATTCCTTTAATACCCTACAAAATATATCATTCGTTGTCCCCCCCCACCACCATCCTTATCACCTTTTACTTTATATCTTCACTAATATATAACTACTCTCTCTGTCCTAAAAAACCCACCAAATAGTCATCATTTCTCCATTCTTATCGGTTACCACAACAACACCATCTATGTCGGTCCGATCTCCCCCGTTCTTTTACTTTCAAAAGGCGCACTTCCCCGCCGCCGCCGCCGCGTTCTCTCGTATTTATGCTGCCGTTATTTACGGATGCGTCCCGCCACAAATGACGTGCGCGCCGCATTCCGTGACGTTCTACGATCGTAATCATCTCCCCAAATTAGTGCAAACACCTAGTGATCACAGGCAACATCTTCAATAAATTCATTCTCGACATGTATCGACTTCCTCCGTCTTCGCAGAGTCGGTCTCTAAAAACAATACTACAAACATTATAACAATCGTTACAAACAACACGTACATTCATTTTACACGTTAAATCGTCTTTAAAACAATCGCGCCGGCCCGACATTGATGCGTGTCTCCTTCTGCGTTGACGAGTGTCTTCCCGCACTCGGGAGTGTGGCGTTCTTCCCGTGTTCCGGAGCATCTTCCTCGCGCGTCGACCGGTGTCTTCGTCCGCAGTCGACGAGCGTCTTCGTCCGCAGTCGACGAGCGTCTTCGTCCTCGGTTCCCGAATGTCTTCGTCCGGACCGCTCTCGTGCGCCGACTGTACGAGCCGTCTCCGACTCGTATCGGCGCGCTCCTCCGCAACTGAAACGGACAAATTACTGTCAAAATATATCGACAATTATCTACTATTACAAATTCTACTAATTCCCAAACAAACTTCATCTAAGTTCATTCTTTCTACAGTATACCTATACACAAACATATCTACACACTATTGCCAACTAAAACACACAGGCATACTCGACTACCCCACAATTACGTCACGCACAAATTACTCCTCCCGCTCGTGCCGTACGCGGGCGCCGACGTCGCGCTCTGCCGTATCTCCGTAAATACCCGCGACCCCGTCGCCTAATACAAAATCAAACTCGACGCTCCTCCACCCGTCGGTACGGTGTGCTCGTCGCCACCTCCCATACTTAACGATTATCAAAAAACATACAATATACCTATACATAACATAATATTAATTGTACATATTCGTACCATTCCCAAGAACTCGAGAAATCTATAAGACGATTGGGAAAGTCCACTCGATCCGGACCGAATGTACGTCGTGCTCTCGAGATCGTACCATTTACGTCTGTGAACGTCTAGCGAACGTAACTTCCGCGACGACGGAGATCCGGTACGAGGATAAACGTGTTGGCGGTGAACCAAAAACTATACGGCGAGTTCTGCTATAACGCGTGTTTTGACGACGCGATTTATGAATTGAGGAACGATATTTGTAAAACGCGAACTCGTTTCCTCCGACGCGATTCCACTCGAACGATTGTTATGGCTTCGGTTCACGTTCGACATCGCGTGTTCAATTGAGTTATGTGTTTTGTTTGTGAACAATTGCAGAAATAATGTATGTAATATTTATGTATACAGTATACCTATATATTATAAGTCAATTGTAAAATTTTACATAAAAGAGACAATCAAATTACATAGCGTTTTACACCGGCGCTCTCTTTACATCACACAGTGTTTACGGTTCACGTTCGACTTCGCATATTCAATTGATTTTTGTGTTTTGTTTGTGAAGAATTGCAGAAATAATTTATGTAATATTTATGTATACAGTAAACCACTCACAAGGTCCTACAGTGACAACAAAGGGAAAGTGACCTCGACTGTGACCGTCTGTGCCTATTTTTAGCCGTCCTTGTGGTCGGTAATGCATATCGGTATATTTACTGATCATAATACTTATCTCCTATAAATAATTCATTTGAAATTTATTTTTGGGCAAAGAATATTCGGTAAATGACTGCGTTAATTCTTGAAACTACCCACATTGGTAAATTTAGGACATAAATGATGAACGGAAGTCACGTCACGGATTCGGAGTTTGGTCCTTAACGATCGCCATAAATGTACATTACCGGGTATAATGGTAGCCTCCCTTTTTCCAGAAAAAAGTATATAAATTAAAGAAAATACTTGCAGCATATTTAATATATTACAGTATATTATAAATAAATAAATCAACAAATAAATTCAAATTCCCTTATCATCCTGTGTTATAAACTCGAGTCCCCGAGCGAGTACACAAAAAGAAAACGGACGACCGACACATCCTCGAGTGGATAGAGAACGGACATCTCTACTGGGGGACTCGAACGTTTCTCGTGTTTTGTGGGCGCTGTAGCATAAGATGAATATGTAAATTGTAAAAATTTAAATAAAAGAGAAAAACAAAATAAGTAGCGTTTAAAGTGTACTTTACATTGTGGCTTGGCGCAGGGTTATGCAGTGTTTACAGTTCACGTTCGACATCGCAAGTTCAATTGATTTATGTGTTTTGTTTGTGAAGAATTGCACAAATAATTTATGTAATATTTATGTATACAGTATACCTCTACAGTATATGTAAAATTTTAAATAAGAGAAAAACAAAATACATAGCGTTTTAGACCCGCGCGCTCTGTTTACTCCACACTTTGTTTGAAACACGTGTGAAATTTTTAAGTGTCCTCGGTGATTACTGTTTCTCCAATTTTGTGACTATGGAAAAGAAGAATATCTCTGGGAAGCACTCTGGTGATCATAAAAGAAAGGCTATAACACTCGAAGAAAAGCTTGATGTTTCATGACTCCTCAACATCAATCTTCTCCCCCATCAAGTTATATTCAGATTTTTTCAAGGTCAAGTGTAACATTTACTGTATGATTTCAATATTAGATATCAATGTAACATTTATTTAGACTGTACTACGAAATTTTTGTCGATTTGGAGTAATCTGCACCTAACCCTATTTTCTCCATAAGCCCTGTCATTTCTATTACACGAATTTCTATAACACGATGTTTTACAAGAACACAACTATCGCATTATAGCAGAACTACCCGTACTCGAAAGGAAACGTCTCGTATGCATCCGCGTAAACTCGATACGCCTCGTCTCCTCGGGACGTGTACGGCGATGAGGATAATCTTACGTCTGCGTTCAAATGGTGCAATGTGTCTGAGGAGGATCCCTAATTACACTTTTAAGGGAAGTGCATATACCCACGCCACGAACTTTCGGCTTCTGTTCCGAGGGATCGTCCCGTGTACCCGCCTCCGGCGTGCCGCGTTCCTATTATGACCCGCAATGTGCATACAATAACGCCTACTTGCAATACAGTATAAAACATAGGACATAAATACATATACCTCATCCTCCATTACAAGCTACTACATTCTTAACCCTTACACCCAGGTGACGTCCATCTGGTCTCCCCTTTGTGGAGGAGGGGGTGGGGAGAATTCATCTTGTTTCTCGATTTATCCCAATAGGAAGGGAGGGGGAAGTGCCAGCAGCACCCTAACCCTTGGCTTAAACTCCCATTTTTTAATAATACTTTTCATATTGTATCCAACACTTTTAGACCAGATATGACACCTTCAATTCTATATCTCTATGCTAAATTAAGTACTCTCGTTATAACACTTGTAATGTCCGTCCCTCTACGCATTTTCGATGGCACCCGAGTCTCGTCGTCGGTCGCATTTTCATTTCTCCCTCGTTATCTTTACGTTCTACTACTCTTTTACTCGTAAATTCCCGTCTTATTTCCTCTCGGTAACCGGTCAAAACTTCCTTCGATATTTCGTCGACGACGCGCCGCTTAATAAATTCTCGTCTCCCTTAAAAACCTTCCACTTACTCTACGCAATTCCTACGGAGACGCCGAGGCACGCCACATACGCATTCCTATTCTTCAGAGAACCATTAAGTAAATACCGTACACTGCGATATAAACATTACAATACGGCGTCGTCCGACATTCTCACCCGCGGTTCGAGCGGCGTCCTCGGCCGGGGTCCGTCGAGTCGCCGGTCCGCACAAAAATGACGTTTCTGACTCCCGTCGGGTGACTGCAAATGAAAAATTAAGGTTAAAAAATATACATAGTCAATTAGGCATGCAAATTATACATGAACCCTTGACACCTAACCCAAATATCTGAGTACATTCTCTAAAGACCTGGATACATTTGCCAAACATACACTTTCCATTGGAAAATCTTACATACTTAGGCAGCCACCAAACGGGGAGATACCACCTCCGCAGACAATATTGGAAGCGTAATGTGTCGTCCGTGGTAGATCTTCCTGCTACGTGGCATCCCTAAAATTGTGACCGAGTCCCGGGTCGCTCGTCTGACTCTCTGTCTCGATTGTTTCTCTTACTATTGACAACACAACATAAATCTATTGTTCCTCACTTTTGATTTTTTTTTCCATTTTGTATTTCTTTAAGGTTCTTCAGTATTATTGTTACATATAAACTAGGTTACCCCATATTTATGGCAATATGTTTTATTTTACTTGTGCAATAATGCGCCACTTTGAATGCGCACGCGTGTTTTGGTTTCGTTTTTACGGACGGTCCCGAAAATATACCGGAGAGAGCGTCGTCGTTTGTGTCGTCGTCTGAGCCTCTCGCATCATATTTCGTTGATATCCACCAAAAATGAACACTGTAACTTCAACAATTATTATTATTATTACATTTTCGCCCCGATGTGGGTCGGTGACCCGTGCCCGGGTGGGCTAATTCCCATAAAAAAAATACGTATTATTTATTTACTTTGCACTTTTATACGTACGAGTGTCGACGAAATTAATCTGCCGTTATTTACGCGATCTCATTTCTTGCGCACTTTCGACGGTTCGACGCGTGCCCTCGTTCTACTCCGGATGCACGTCAAATACCCGACGACGACGACGACGACCCCTCCGGGAACGTCGTAGCGTCGACCTCCGGCGCGCCCCGCGACGAGAAGACCGCTCCGGAATTTCGACGAGACGTCACGTCGAACGGCGTTCCGGACTATACCCTCGACGATGACTGCGAGTGGCCTCGGACCAAACCCCACGCCTCCCGAGACACGGTCGAGTGAGGCTTCGGTCTCCGTGCTCGCCGATCGCCGCAATATAATACCAATTAAAACACTGCACTGTATGGCAAGTCTACCCTACAATGAATCCCCAAATCTGCTGTACCAAACATTCACTTGCCTAAAACGGTTAGCACAGACACATCCACCCAGGCAAAAGAGGGGACTTCAATCGACTACTCTTGTTACGGCGGAGGAGCCGCGCGCTCGGTCCGTGGGCGTCAAACCCGAGCGTTCCTTTAATCGCGGGCTGTGGTTCCGCCGGAAGATGCCGTTCCTTAGTTTCTGCAACGTGAAAGCCCGTCCTCCCAATTTCTCGCACGGCAACCGCCGGACGCGACCGCCTGCCGATGCCCTCTGGGTCCCACGCCACCCAAACAAACCCACCTAACTTTAGTAAATGGAAACGTACGTGCCCGAGAGTGGCGTACGAGTATTCTACGCGTGTCGCCGCATTATTCTCCCGCCGAATGCATTCGCCGCTGCGCATTTCGATGCGTTTTCCATTGAAGGACTAGGGTGTGGTTAGCAAATTATTTGTTCCTCTAATTGACATATATACAACTTATAAACCCTTCTTCACACTCACAATTTATAATTATAGTCACATATTTTATAGCAAACTCCAATAAACTTATCTAATATTTATCCCATTAATATCAACACTAATAACTGGTCACTTCGACTAAGTGTGTGTAGTGTAATTGTAATCACACAAAATGGTACATTATTAATAAGGTGACCATCATATACTATAAAACTTATTAAATAAAACACAAAAAAGGAACGACAGGTGCTAGGAGAGAAAGGTGGTATGTGGAGGGAAGGGATAGAGGGGTGGAAGGGAAGGATAATAGATAAGGAAAGGAAGAATGGTACGTGAAGAAAGGGAGGGGGGACAGATGGTGGGATAGAGGGGTGGAAGGGAAAGATAATAGATGAGGAAAGGAAGAGTGGTAAGTGGAGGGAGGGATACATTTAGCTGGAGGTAGAGGGAACAAGGGGTGGTATAGTCGTCAAACTATCCGTTAATCTTTAACGTCGTGTACTCGGAGCTTCCGTCTTCTCGAGTGCCGGAGCGGGTCGCCGCAGTTGTTTTGGGGGTCGACCGCCGGGCAAGTTTTAGCATTCTTACTCAATGAAATACTGTACATTACAAATACACGTATAATATGACCTTAAGCTAAAATAACCGTTGACTGAGCTTTAGTTATCCTTAAAATAGCATCCATAAAAATAGAAAAACACGTAGGTTATTCTCGACGATCGTCTCGCGTCGGAGAGCGGCACTCGCCGACCCGTCTCCGGAGCGACGATCTACGGTCGTTCTTCGTGTCCTTCTCCCGGATCGCGCTTCCGCTGCCCGAGGCGACTTCTTCTGTGGGTTAAGTTTGTGATGTGAATGCTGCCTGCATTTAATAATTATACTGCACTACATCTATACAACCATTGCATAGGGTATTATAAATCAATCATAATGCCCTCGTAAAATATCGTGTTGATCATTTTTAATTTGTGTCGTGTACCGGTAAGCAGAGTGTCGAGTGGCCGGAGGTGTGTCCCGGGCCGACGGCGAGACGATACCCTACGTGATGGAACTAATCTACGATCGTAACTAGTCTATTGCTAGAAAATGCAATATACTGCACGCGAGACTACGTAAACGAGTACTTCTCGCAAACGACGACGGACCGTACGACTGCGCAATACGGGCCGAATCTCGAGCGGGCCCGCATCCGCGGACGGACCGCCCTCGGCGTGCCCGTCGACGGACACGCGCGCGACAAAAATCGCCACGACTATTTACTAAACGAAGAAACGGGACGTCGACGACCCGACGGCATTGTCGAATATTACGTCGTCGACGCGTTTACGTAAAATTGTTACCGGTCCCGCGTACGCGTCGGTGACCGACGCACGTACGGTACGACGTCGATGTGACGCGAGGCGCATTCCTAGAGAGCTAATAGCTTTAAACCAAATTTGGACTCAATTAAAGTGGTTTCAATGGAACAATTTACTTTGGTACTCGAGACTAACACAAAATACTAAAAAGACCCAATATACCCAAATGCACCTCGGCCCATCTCCTACAAAACATCGTTTTTGTAGTATCGCGTTAAAACGGACGCTCGTAAATCGACGCGGCTAAAATTATGAGACGCGAAATGGCCCGTTTACTCGTGATCGGATTCGCGGCAAGATGGGGAGGAGGGTTATCGGTTTGACAGTTGATGCCAAGGTCTAGAGCTTATTTATTTATCTGTCCTTAACAGTGACTTTCAGGTTTTCTCTTATGAAATATCACTAAACTGACTTGGAAGAATATAATTAACATTGCTGGAATTCTTATAAAATTGTGATTACTTTGAATATAAACATGCTATAGTTCACATACAAATTTTAGTTGTAACTAATTTTATTACAAAGGGCTACAAATTTTTATCTCTTGTGCAAAATATACAACGTTTATGTTAAAATTATTAGCCGTCTTGTAACGATTTTAGCAATGCAAATTAAATTCTAACTTTTGTCTGTGATATTACTTAAGATAACAGTCCTACTAAGCTTCTCTCATTTTAAAATGCCAGTGAAATGACCTGGTACAATATAATTAACATTGCTGGATTCTTGTAACATACTGATTAATTTGAATATAAACATGCTGTAATTTGCACCGGACATAACAATTTTTGTACCGTAATCAAATTAGTACAACAATGCTCCGGCTTTGCACCGAGGTCGTTTATTTCTTTTACGTTTCTTTTATTGTGGTGTCTGCATGTAAATGGATGAAAATAAATGAAGAAATTGATATAAATCTACCCAAAAATACAGTTGAAAAACTTTATATTATAAAATGTACTACAATTTTTATATCTTCAACAAAATACAGTATATATATAATGTTTATATTCAAATTATTGGCTGTCTTGCAAGGATTCCAGCTATGCAAATTGTAATCCCCTAACTTTAGTCTGAGATATTATATAAAATAAACACCTTAAAGCATAAAGTTATCACCAATGTTTTGTCTGGGAACACAAGGAGGGAGGTAGCCAGCGAGCAGGGGGGGGAAGTGAGGTGACAATGTCTTTATTTATTTGAGATAAGATTTGACAGTTGGCGCTGAAGGCCCGAGTGTTTATTTATCATTACTTAAGAGTGACTAAGCTCTTCTCATAATTTGCCACCCAAACGACCTGGGTGAATATAACTTGTAAGATAGTATTTGAATATCTGTGTAAACAATCTATATTTGCCATAGACATAACAATTTAAGTACCGTAATCGTTTAGTACACGTACAGTAAGGGTTTGCACTCGGGTCCATTGTTAACCGAGGGACCGCTGTAATTGCAGTATACTTATACTGTACAATATTGACTAAATTCACTAGATAACGTACATCACTAATGGTCGGTAAAACTTGTCAAGTCTCTCGGTATGAGTGGCACGTGTTAGTGCTCGAGTCTCCCGTCGTGGAAGTCCGTTTTCTCTCCCTTCGGGATGCCCGAGTCCATTTTCTCTTAATCTTAGAGTGCAGTGCACCAGAGACTTCGTTATTCCTCAGTAATGACACAGAATTTCAAATTGCAACCCCAATTGCAACTAGGGTTGCAATTGTTGAGGCAACTAGATATGTCCGATTACAGCAAATGTGTTATTGTCAATTTGTAGGTGAAAGATTTTATCCTCAATAGATGTAGGTTAACATTACACCTGGAGGAAAATGCTTACTAAAGCCTAAGGAATGATATTCCTTTAACACATAACATCTAGCCAGTACGGGAAGGATCGTCGTGTCTCCATCAGGGGGGTCTTGGAGTGGTGGTCCAGCAGGCATCACGGAAGTGTTTTTTCGAGGGGGGGCACGGACGTACGGTCGGCCTTTCACATACGCGGGTTTAGCATTCACGGATTCGCAAATACGCGGATTGCCCCGCCAGAGGAATATTCTGTACATTGAAGTAATTGAAGTACAGTCGGCCCTTAACATTCGCGGGGGTTAGGTAACAGAGATACCCGTGAATGTTAAAAATCCGTGTACTATTGCTACCCCCCCCCAAAAAACAATCCCTGGCCCCCCCATGTCCTTATTTACCGTATATACCTGTGTGTAGTTCGAGTTTTTAAGACAAAATTATTTGGCAAAAATTGGGGGTCGACCTCTTAACGGGTAATAGTTTCGTTAGGTTGAAAAATATTTACCAGTAACTACCAGAAAACAATGGAAACGATGCACCAACACACCACCAGCTGTGAGTGTCGGTACAGTTGCCAGGGCAGATCTCTTGCGAGCCCAAAGTAGCCAAATCCATGGTATGGTAGCACAGGACGATGTAAAACAAAGTATTCATTCATTAAAGTTAACTCGTAGATACTGGACATAAATTTTTGTTCATTACATTTGAAGCATCAATCTTTGTTAATTAAATTTGAAACAAGAAAAAACTACGATACTGGATTTTCATTAAAATATTACATCACAAGTATATTTTACCTTAACCGTGACTGAATGAATATATTCTCGGAAATAAATATGGAAATGTAATATTTTTGCTGGAATGACGTACATATTATAGTGGGAAGTGGGATAAAATCATGACGAAACACTTTCGCTTTCTTTCGTTGTTCAAAATATTTTACCGTAATCGCTTTTCGAATGGTTTTCAGTTAAAAAACTGTTGCATCACAAGTGAATTAGGATAGAATATTATTGTAATACAACAGTTTTTTAACTGAAAACCATTCGAAAAGCGATTACGGTAACATCTTTTGAACGAAAGAAAGCGAAAGTCATTGTTTTCGTCACGATTTTGTCCCACATTCCACTGTAATACTTACGTCATTTCAGCAAAAATATTTCATTTCTGTAACCGAAAACTATTAAAAAAATGAGTAACATCTCTTGAACATTGAAGGTTAGGTGAAGTCTTTTGTTTTCGTCATGTATTTTATCCTATTTTACATTGAAATACATCACGTTTCAGCAAAATTACTATTTATTTCCAAGAATATATTCATTCGGGCGCAGTTTAGGTAAAATATACGTGTGATGTAACAGTTTTTTAATTGAAAACGATTCGAAAAACACGTACCCTCTGGCCCCGTTCAAGGAGAGGACTGGGAGAAGCTGTGTGGTGCTGCAGACGATGGCAAGGAAAATGATTTGGATTGATTTTAATGAAAATATTCAGAAATATGGTATCGTAGTATTTATTCAAGTCAATTAGGATAGAATATTATTGTAATACAACAGTAGTGACGATGTGGAGGAGGCGGAGGGATAGAGCGGGGAGGAGTGGTGACTGGCGGGAGCAGGGACGAGTGGAGATGCCAGCCAGTACATTACGGGTGTATTAATTGTTTTTATAGCTATTTTTGCATTTTAATGTTAAATACTGTACATTACCTTTCAACAAAACTACCATTTATTTCTGAGAAGATGGAAATGTAATATTTTTGCTGAAATGATGTACGTATTACAGTGGAAAGTGACGAAAGCAATGACTTTCGCTTTCTTTCGTTCAAAAGATGTTACCGTAATCGCTTTTCGAATGGTTTTCAGTTGTGGGATTATAAGGCTAATGATAGGATAGAATATTATTGTAATACAGTACGAGTACAACAGTTTTTTAACTGAAAACCATTCGAAAAGCGATTACGGTAAAATATTTTGAACAACGAAAGAAAGCGAAAGTCTTTCCTCATGATTTTATCCCACTTCCCACTATAATATGTACGTCATTCCAGCAAAAATATTACATTTCCATATTTATTTCCGAGAATATATTCATTCAGTCACAGTTAAGGTAAAATATACTTGTGATGTAATATTTTAATGAAAATCCAGTATCGTAGTTTTCTCTTGTTTCAAATTTAATTAACAAAGATTGATGTTTCAAATGTAATGAACAAACATTTATGTCCAGTATCTATAAATTAACTTTAATAAATGAATACTTTGTTTTACATCGTCCTGTGCTACCATACCATGGATTTGGCTACTTTGGGCTCGCAACAGATCTGCCCTGGCAACTGTACCGACACTCACAGCGGGTGGTGTGTTGGTGCATCGTTTCCATTGTTTACTGGTAAATATTTTTCAACCTAACGAAACTATTACCCGTTTAGAGGTCGACCCCCAATTTTTGCCAAATAATTTGGTCTTAAAAACTCAAACTACACACAGGTATATACGGTAAATAAGGACATGGGGGGCCAGGGATTTTTTAGGGGGGGGGGGGTAGCAATAGTACACGGATTTTTAACATTCACGGGTATCTCTGTTACCTAACCCCAGCGAATGTTAAGGGCCGACTGTATATGCTATCGGATGTTAACCGGCGCACGACTGTATGTGTTTTTGAAAGATGCAAATCCTCCGAGGATTCGCATCGCACGTAGCGCGAATTTGGATTGCGTGTCGTAAACGGACGCCGAGCCGGTCATTACCGGGATCGTACGTCAAATGAACCGAGGAATTATCGGAAAGACACAACGGGGAGAGAGGCGCTATTATTAGCCTTCGCGACGAGGGTACGCGCAACGCTCGAATAACTCGGCACAATGGGGCGAGCGAACCCTCGGGCATCGCGATGGGTTACCCGCCGCTAAACGACGGGCGACGCGCCGATTAAAATCCTATTTTGACGTTAAACCGACGCCATTTACGTATCGATAATATTTGGCAGATCCCATTTAGACCAATATATTGTATATTGCTGTACCTGTTCACTCTAATATCAACTACTATTTGCTCCGTCACTCCTCAAAAATCAGACGTGTCGTCGACGACTACATTGTGCATCTCGGTACGAATAAAACCGTCGCTACGACGCGGTGGCGAAACGTATGCCCCGAGGTCCGTCTCGGTCTAGCTCGTGACGTTCCAAAACTCTTCCGTTTAATGTATATTCCGATATTTTTGTAATCCTCGGTTGGGGGCCTCGCTTCTAACCGGCACGATACATACATTAATATAGCTCAATGAATTTCTTGTTATAGTAAAGCATATACCGTACGGTCGTATGTCACACGAGGACGACTCCCTCGCTACCCGCCGTCTACGGCTATTGCTCATATAGTGACCGGATGTACCTGTACCAACTTATGCTGATGCACTGGGGATCACAGCAAAGTATTTCATCTAGAGTTTCAAATTTTACCGCTAGAAAATTCAACCGATACTTTTTGGGGGACCGTACATAATTTGGGGGGAACTGTTTTCGTTGTAGAAAAGTATCTTGGCTTTTATAATGTGAGTCTATAGGAATAGTGATTCGATTTACCATAGGTTTTTATAAGACACAGTACTCTTATAAACTGGGGAATGCCTGTAGAACTTTCCTAACATTCAAAGTACCACAACAATATTAAATACAATACCACAGACTACTTGAGGTCCAGTAAACTTTATGTCCAGCCAACTTCATTCTAGTTCACATCAGGTCCACTGTAGGCAGTGTTGGAGAAAGTGCCTGAAAATATTACTTAAGATAAAGTACTGCACTGTTGATATGTAAAAATTTAAACTATGTCCTGTAGTCTTCTTCAAAACTATGCAAATAAAAGTTTACTCAACTCAACTGATTCATATAAGTAGAAAAAAGTATTTCGAGTACCACAGCATATATAGAATATCATAATTAATAAACAATGACATTATGTTTTGAAAACGAAAGTTAAAGTTATTAATATACTGTACTGTACTTTAAAGAAACACGAAATAAACACATTCAAAATTGGGTATGGGATGAAAAACGTGAATCTGGGCCATATTTTGGAAGTGCCGCGTACCGCCGACGCCAATGGGACGCGACCTTACGCACAAACATTTACATAAATGCCCACTTTTATAGGATTACTGTACAAGTGTACTGAAATACAAGTACAGGTTGTACCTCTCCGGTCCGGCAACCACGGGACCCGACCAGTGCCGGACGCCGGAAATTTCCCGACCGTGGAAATTCGCCCTCTTCCTGGACAGATAGTGACTTCTGTTAACACTTGGAAGCACTAGCACCACTTTCTCTGCTTCGTGGTCTCTTTGAAGACATATTGAAGGGTTAAATGTCGTACAGTACCTTCTCAAATTTCGCGAGTTTTTAATTCGACGTTTTCTATTTGAACGCACAAAAAAAACCGACACATTTAAAACTTTTGACGGCGCAAACTCAAATTTTGACGGGTTTGAATGGCCCGCCGACGTTCGGACGACGTGCACGATCGTGTAAACGGCGTTATTTCTCTTATGTACGAAAGATTCATTATTATTTATTACTGAAAGTCTTTTGGATTGAATTAATGTTAGTGTGTGCAAAATGAGCAATACAATTCATTAATAATACGCTCAATATTAAAATGCGAGGAAATGAGACGGCACCGTTTTCGTCGATTACAAAACCGGTGACTGACTGGTTCTACGTATAAAACTGAAGAAAATAAGACCCTGGTTGTAGCTGTAGAAAAATTAATATGGTTCTTTTAAGTAATGTTAATAAATGGAACAATAGAAGTAGCTAACGATAATGGTAAAGAAAAACAGAGATCGCATATGCGAGTGCGCACGCGTGAAAACGTATCGTCATTACTTTACGTAAGAATGTGAAAGCAACACTTATTTACTGTTCATATATATTTTAATTAATGTTTCTGAATTTGTTTTTATTGAATTAATGTTTGTGTGTGCAAAATTAACAGTACAATTTATTACTAATACGTGTAATATTAAAACGCGCGACGAGACGAGACGGCTGCCGGCATTGTTTTTGTTAAAGCTTACAAAACCGGTGACAGATTGGTTCTACATATAAAACTGAAGAAAATAAGACCCTGATCGTAGCTGTAGTAAAATTAATGTAAAAAAATTAATATGCTTGTTTGAAGTAATGTTATTTAATGTTAATAAATGGAACAATATAAGTAGCTAACCATCAATGGTAAAAAAAAAGTGAAACTGCGCGTATGTAAGTGCGCACACGTGAAAACATGTCGTCGTTACTCTACTTAAGAATATGAAAGCAACACTTATTTACTGCTAGAATATATATTGAAGGGTTAAATGTTGTGCTCTGTATAGACAAGCACAGAGAGAGAGCTGCCGGATGTATTTACAACTTCAGCGGTCACTGATGACACTATGAACTATCACTGTGTACACTGTATCTCCCTGTGAGTGGTGTATTATAAACACAGATTCAGTCCTTGAGCAAGCAAACAAACAAAATAAATTTAAAGTCTCTGTGGCACCTATAACACGTATAGGCTGGCAGTTGTCCTTACCAGCTCGATTGCCAATATGTATTCACTTTAAGTTATTATAGTCTCTTCTGCATTCACTGATGACAACTATGAACTGATTTAACTGAAGGCACAGTACTACACTCCCTGGTTGGCCTTTATCACAGCCGTGACCACAACACCCTAAAAAATAAAATAAAATAAAACCTTTGTCATGTGGCAGTGATTGTGTGGTTATAGACCTGTGACCCTGGCTGTACCTCCAACTCGGTGGAAATTGAGTTTTCAAAACTACAATCGTGTCTAGCATGAAAAGTCCGACATCGATTTACACTTTCACCTCACTAAGACTATCTTGACGAACTTATGTAATCACTGTCCAATTTCTGCCGCTCTACATCGAAGGCCCGAATGCCGAACACGCTTTGTTACAGAGACGCAACACGACCCGCCCGCCCTTCTTAGCGGTGAATATTAAACCTTAATTTCCCCCGGCTTTGTCGTTGTTGTTGTTTTTTACGGGGATTAGCCCACCCGGGCATAGGTCACTGACCCACATTGGGGCCTGAGGGGCAAAAATTTAATACTCCTGTAATAATAATAATAATAATAATAATAATCAAGATTAAAAAAAAAAAAAAGCTGCCTATCTACCTATTGGACAAACTAAAATCGTTCCGGATCACAGAATGCCGGACTAGAGAGGTACAACCTGTACTCTAATACACTCGGCTCGTACGCCCAATGACACGACGTGAAGTGACGACGTCGGTATTACCTCCCAGCGGCGTTTCTCCGTTTGCCGTTAACGGCGTCGTGTGCGAGACCGGACGGGTCTGTACGGTCGAGTCTCGACTTGTCGTACCGAGATGTGTTGTTGGTCCTTGAAGCTTCCTGGAAATGTGACCAATAGCTATATAATACACAACACTGTAAAACTATTATATTATAGGCAGGGATTATTTGACCGGTACTCGGCACAAAAACCGCCGCTTATTTGACAGAGATCTAAAATAAAACTAAATCCTTTTGTCAACAGAAATTATACAATTAAATAATACCATAATGTAATGACTTGTTTAATGCCCCCAACCATCCCGACTACAATCCTATAAGATCCCCGCAGGTCCCGGTCAAATGGCCGACGGTTATTTGGCCCAGAATCGTGGTCAAATAACATCTTCGTACACTTATAATAAAGGCACTTGTTTGTTTAGTACCACGTGGAGAAACTGATTACTCAAATAGGGTAGGTTAGGTTGAAATAATCTTGTTCCAATGGTTTTTGATGTATTTTCAACTTTTATGACCTTCGGAAAATAGCTGCACGGCCAAAACGATAATTTTACCAGTTTTTATTTGGATTTTTTCTAATATATAAATATGATCTTAATTTCCTTACACTAACAAAAACAATGAATCTTCCAAAGTGAGTTAGACTTTCAACATGAAGGGTTAAAAAAACAACATTGAAAACCCTACCTAACCTAATCTAAACTACCTAACTTCTTGCGATGGACCAACAAAAACCGAATCGGCATACCCGGTTTCGTACGCGTCCAATAGTGTTTATATTTCGTGGACGCGACCGACGTAGAACGAAACTGCGACGATCTCGACGGATTCTTATCGAGCTGCCGGGAGAGAGGCACAATTTTGCGGGATTTATTATTTAAATCTCTCTGCTGTGACCAATCAGAGGACAGTGCAAATTTATGATGATATTTACACAGGAGCAAAAACTTTTTTTCTAGATATATTTAAGCCTCCTTCGTGACCTAAACGTTGAAGACGAGAACCGACTCACAGACAAAACATTAAAACACAAAAACAAAACATCAAAGAAATAACTTTTTCTGTTATCATTAGTTAAATACACCTACTCCTCGACTTACGACCTACTCGACATACGACGGAACGGCCATTTTTTTGGTCTGGTAAACACAGCTGTGAGCGCTAGCTCCCAAATTTGGGATGTTTTCGAGCCTATTACATTATCTGAAGGATATATAGACTTACCTACTTGTGTATAAGGACCTGAGGATAAGATAAGTATCGTCAAGCAACTTTGGTGTTGGGAACTTACTGTTTACCTTACGAAAATAACTGCTCGGGGTCCCATCACTCCTGGCTGGGTGTTGTGGGATGTCAACATTGCCCCATGGAAAGTGAATTTTCGCTTAAGAACTCTACATGGAAGAGTAAAGAAAAGATAGTATTGGACGAAGTTCTTGAAGACCTTGAGTTGAGTAGTGATGAGTCTAATACGAGTGATGAAGCACAAGGGAAGTCCGAAAGTGAGAAAATACAGCTACAACAAGAGGTAGTGAAAAAGAAAGAAAATTCTAAAAGGATGAGGGAGACAAGCTGGCATGAGGACAGTGAAAGCGGAGAAGTGAGAGAGGAGAAGAGACAAAAACATCTAGGACAAAAAACGTGTGTGGGTGGTAATAATAATGGAAATAACAGAAAGGAGATAGTGGAGAATGGATCAAGAACAGAGCAAAGTATGGAATTTGAAGGAAGCAGACAAGAACACACACAAGGTGAAGTTGGTCGTGTCAGGAAGAGATTAATTTTTCCACAGTCATGCCCGATGACCTTCCTTGAAAAATTAAAATGGGCAGTACAACTAGGACGGGAGCATCGCAGCTTTGAGCCTCTTTTGAAAGAAGGCACACACAAGCCTTATCTTACAGTGGGGACCATGGAGGCTGTGGAAATGTTGACAACTGTTGGGTACAAGGGATTACTGATGGTTTTGCCAGAGGAGAGCGACATACTACTTACAAAGGTTATAATCTTTAGGTACCCTGTAATACTAGATCCAGAATACTTATTGGATGACGAAAGATTTGTTTGGGTCAAGAGGCATTTAATAAGGGGCGAAGAGAGAAGCCAGGTTATTGCTCTAATGAGAGGAAAGGTTCCAGAGAAAGTGTTCATCACAGGAGCAGGGTATAGGAAGGTGGCACTATATGTGGAGGGACCAATAATGTGTCTCAAGTGTTGCAGATGGGGACATAAGGCCTGGAGCTGTCAACTGGACCCACGTTGTAGATTCTGTGGGAAGAGGCACGAATCTAGCAACTGTAAGGACAAGATCAAAGCAGGAGAGAAAGTGAAGCCTTGTTGTTGTAAGTGTGGTAAAACTCACAATGCTAGTTCAATTGCATGCGAGATGAGGTCACGTATGAGAAGTGACCAACAAAGGAATTATTCAGAGAACACTGAGGAATTACGCTGTGGTCTGACAATGACAAGACAGCAGGAGAACACACAGACAGTGATTCCTGAAAATGCCTGGCATGAAGATTCAAGAAGGATAAGGACTGCGCTTGCGGCCGGAAGCGTTGTTGATGCCAGAAACAAACAGAGTAATAAACAAGTAGCAAGTGAGAGTAGTGGTGCAGCCCTCCAGGTTAGTGATAAAACTGTGCAAGAAATTCTGGGAGAAGAGGTGCTTAAGATGTTTCAGCTTTTGCAAAAGTTAGGTCAGAAAATAGAAGTGATAGAGAAAAGACTTGATACAGTGATAAATAAAGAAAGGGAAAACAAAGCTGTGAATAATGTAGAATTAAAAGGGAAAGAGGAAAGTGAAGAGCTCAAGCCTTTGAAAATTTCAGTGCTTAAAATAAGTATTAAAGGGAAGGAGAGGAAAATAAAGGATTGTGTAGTGCAGGGAGCAACAACTGAAAGTTTTAAAAAGGTGTTGGTAAAGTGTAAAGATGCTGATAAAGAAAAACTTTTGAGGAAATGGGAATCTGTGCAGGAGGATTGGGCCTTCTTAAAGAATCTGATTGGAAAGGATATAAAATGTGTAAATATTAATCCTGGATCTAGCTAGCCTAAGATAATGTCCTGGAATGTTAATGGTCTACGAAATAGAGTGACAGATGTACATTACTTTACCCTTAAAAATAATATTGATATAATTACCCTTCAAGAGACTGGGGACAGGAAAGGCGACCTGCTTAAACTGTCTGGATATAAGGGATTTCATCTCTATTCGGGTGAAGGTATAAGAGGGGTCTCAACATACATTAAGAATTCCATGCCAGCAGAACTAGTTGGAAGCCCGAGTAGAGTACAAGGAATAGAAAGTGTCTGTATGAAGTTATATTTGAAGTAAGGAGAATTGAACATAGCAAATTTGTATATTTCTGGAGGCTGTTTTGACCTCAACTTCTTACCAGATTGCATGTTTTTGGACTCAACTTTGGCTGTAAGAGATTTTAATGCTCGACATCCAAGACTCGAAACAATGGGGAGAATTAATAGTAATGGTATAAAATTTTGGCAATTTTTACAAGATCACCCAGATGCTTACTTGTTAGGAAATAAGGAAGTGACTCATATTAAAGGAGGAAGGTTAGACTATGCTTGCATGATAAGCAGTCAGGGAGACCAGGGAGAATGTGAGATAATAAGGGAGCTAGTCAGTGACCATTTTGTTGTGTATGTTCAATTACCATTAGGGAAGAGACAGGTGAGATATAGGAGGAAGAAATTGAAACTAAACAAGGATGACACAGAAGTGTTTACCCAAAATATAGAGAAATGGTACAGAAATTATACACCAGTCTGTATGGATAGCTTTTATAATGACTTAGTTGGGGAGATAGAAAGATATTTAACTAAGTCAACACAGAAAAAAATAAATGATAAGAGACATGGGGCTAGGAAACACTGCTATACCAATGACAAAATGTTGAAGGGATGGACACAAATGTTAAGGGCAGCAGATAAAGATTAGGTAAAGAATGGTAGAAGAGAAGAAGATAGGGAAATCTTCATGGATATAGCCAAAATATGTGGGCAGGCTAGGAAGGAGGCAAGGGAGAAATATTGGCAAGATTTTGCACAGCACATTGGGGAGAGTAAAAATCTCAAAGAAATATGGCAGGATATTAACAAAATTAGAGGAAAAAGGAGTAATTTTATTAGCCATCCTCATCCAGAGGAAGAAGCTAATAAACTGGTTGACAAATGGGCTAAAGCTGCTAGTGTTGCCTCCCTGCCTAACAGGACAATAGAAGCATTAGATGAGTGGCAAAATGAAAGAAAAAGATTTATTTCATCAGCTCTAAATATTTGTGATGTAACATGT